ATAATTAATTAAAATAATCCTGTTGGACTGCAGGTAACTCACGTGGTGATCTGCGTCTCCATGAAGATGAGGATGAAAACCAGCAGAGCGGGCAAACAGCAGGCGAACATCATCCAGATGGGGAATTTACCGTCCGAACCCAGAGGGTTGATGATCCAACCGCGTTTGTCGGGACTCGTCACAGAAAGTCCACTGGGGACACTCAGTTTCTGGAGAGAGGATGAAGACAGGGATGATGAATGTCTGCAATGTGAATCTTACATTAATATAAAGATTCAGTGTTTCAAGTCTTACTTGTGTGTACGTGTCTTCTATGCTGTAATCTACCAGCACCATGATGAGGATGGCGATGGGAACCCCGAAATCTCCAATAACCCTGCGAAGCTAAACACATAGAAACACACATGTATCCTTGATGAATGATGATAAATATGGAGGTGAATTTATTAGTCTTAATGTTGCAGGATCAGTGTTTAAAAGTGATTTCAGCTCCTCACCCTTCCAGGGAAGAATGCACTGTTCTTGAACTTGCGCAGGTAGAAAGCGATGAAAAATGTCCCGGCCATGAGGACCAGAGAGAGCAGCGCCGTGTTGGGCTCGTCTCGGACATTCGGCTTCACAGACAGGCTGCTGTTGCCCAGATCCAGGGTGAAGTTTCCCGTTGTGCTGCTGTTGTCATGGGAGCAGCGTTTCAGTGGGTGCTCCTTGAAAATCTGCCCGACGACACAGAGGGTTTGAATCAGAGCACAATATGTTTACTACAGAACACACACATACTGTATGTACATCTGTGCGATTACTCATGAATCACACTTTCTGGGAAATAAAATTAGCCTAAAATCAAACGGCTTTCAAGTCTGTGCCATAAAACCACAATAAAGCAAACCTTCCAAAACCATAAGCTTGGATAATGGTTCAACTCTAAATCCATTTAACTTTCAGGGCAAATCAATCACAGATGATTTCAGGTGCACTTGCTAGAAAAACTTACTAATTTCGACCCTGAGATTTGAATATCATCCAAAGTCTAGTCGGCTCAGTTTAGTGTCAGCGACATAATCTCCCAGCGTGCCAACAAAAAGATTTTGTAATCAGGTGTTGTTATTTCAAGTTTCGGGCGTACCCTGCCGAGCTTGATGAAGGTCTCGCAGATGAAGATGAGGGAGATGAGGAAGGAGAAGATCTCCTGGGTGAAGCGGGAGACGAAGCGGACCAGGAAACTGCCTTCGAACGCCACAGTGACGACCACGATGATGATGAGCCAGAACCCGATCCAGACGCGGCCTGTTAGGTACTCGATCGCATTTGCTTTGCAGAACTGAAAACAGAGACATTAAACATTATTCGTGTATTAGTTAAGTTAAGTCTTTAGAGGACTGGTTATTAGTGTGAGAGGAGAGATAACATGCAGCAGCTACAATAAAGAGACTCTGTCACACAGGCTAGTTGTTTCCCCTGATCTTAATAAAGTGTATTTTGCATGTAGAGATGATTGTTTTCCCTGAAAATTCAAAAGTCAAGATCATTTTAGAAAAATAAATAACCAGGTTTTCAGGGGTTTTAAAATTGAAAGTACCTGAGCTAGATTTTATTATTACAGAGAGAATCTCTCTGTCAGATGTTTGTAAGTTGATGAGTAAGTATATGAGTAGAAGTTGACTGTTTTACACTTACACTGTAAAAGGCTTCCTCAAAAACTAGCAGGGGTCCGGAGAAGCCCACGACCAGCAGCGGCTGAGCTCCGAGCAGGCAGAAGATCACGCCCTGCACCGCTGTTGACACAATCAGCTCAGAAACACCAATCAGACCGCCCGTCTTCTCACCTGACAACAAGACACACGCAACACATTAACACCGTCACGGACACAAACAGGGTCTTAAGTTTCACTGACGTCTCACTGAAAGCATGAAATGGATTTGACACATGAGACACGATGGTTCAGCTCTTGTGACACTCACCCAGCAGGCCTCCGAATGTTATGGCTGGAGAGAGCGCAGCAAAGTAGATGAAGATGACCGCAGCCATGCACTGACTGTTGAGGGCATCCTTGAAGTCGCTGACGTACTTCGGGTAACGTCGCCGCACGTCTTGTACCAGGCCACCAAAGGGGCGTCCTGTGCGCTCTAAAGGGTCGCCTGACTTTTTCAGAGGTGTGAGGAGGGCCTCTGGGTGACAGGAGAGAGGACATTGTTAATCTATTTAAATATAACAGGAAGTCACGCTCCTAAAGTTACTGATGTTCACCTTTTTCTTCGAGGCTTTTAGGCTCTTTGAGCAGTTTGACCTCCTGCTCCGCCCTCTTGCGCAGCATCTCCCGCTGGAAGCGAGCGACGGAGCGCAGCAGCTCATCACCTCCCATCTCCGACGGCGGCAGCACGATGCTGCAGTCCAGGAAGCTGTTGATTGCGTTCAGCAGGTCCTGCCTGTCATCTGCTAGATAGGCTGCCTCGTGGAATTGCTGGATGAAAATTCAGCCACAAATAATAAGTAATGTGTGTAGGTATCATTTTATACATTTCGGTGTTTATGTGATTTGGGGTTTATCTTTAAAAAAACTCCCTCGCTCACCTTGTCAGACATCAGCGTGGAGATGGAGCGTCCAATCTGGTGGTAGTCCATGCTCGTGGTGGGGGGTCCCAGCAGAACGAAAAGGAACCTGACAGGCACAGGGACTTCAAGGACGGACTCCAGCTCCACTGCCTCCTGCAGCCGCACAAACGCCATGGTGGGCTGCTCCAGGAAGTCCACACTACCTAGAAGACGACGAGACACAATCGTCAATGAAAGGTGAAGGAATGTAAGTGCGCTTAAGTTGTTCAGGTGCCAAACGTCGTGTGAGTAACTCACCCACAAGGACAACTGTGGCCTCTGCATTTTCAGGAATCTTCTCCAGCAGCTTCAGCTCATGTTTGGATTTGGATCGATGCATGCCGGGCATCAAGGTCGGCTCCTTCTGCTGAGAACAAACAGGACAGGGAGTCAAATCAGGATAAAGAAAAAAATATTGGTAATTGAGATTGTTGGGCCACACCTGAGCTTTAGAATTACCTGTCCATCGTTCTTCTCCATGTCGATGCGTGTGTCCGTGTCCCCCGCAGCATGGGCGGTGCCCATGAGCGGGTCGGTGACAGCCGGCTCGGGCTGATGGCTGTGGTTGGCACTGTGGTGGTGTGTCATCAGGCTGCCGAGGCTGGCGGCCGAGATGTTCCTTGGGAAAGGGCTACTGTGCTCTTTCTCATCGCTCGGGTGACTAGGGGAGGCAGGGAGAGGCAGAGAGAGGGTGAGCAGGAGGAAGAGAGGCAGCGACCAGGCATGAAGCCACCTAGTAGCAGGAAGTGTGCAGCCGTCGAAGAAGAGACTTTAACGAACTGTTTCACAAAAGAAGCTTCTGTGTATCAACATGCACGCTGCGGCGATAAGATGATAAGACACATATCACAATAACCAACAGAACAGATTTTCTATCCACATTCGAAAAAGAAGAGTTTTCCATTCCACAGCTCAAAATCATAATCAAATGCTTTTTAAAATGAATAAGGTAACTAAGGTTATATTCTCAGTGAGCACATGAGCTTGTTTTGTTTGCACCATCGTCCAAAACCCCCAAATATTCAGTTTACAAAAATACACGACAAATAAAAGCATGTCAATCTTCTTTTAAGAGACAAATATGTGGCTTTTTTTTGTTGAAGAAACGATTTAAGTTATTAATTTATTACCAAAGTTACCTTTTCTTTTCGTTGACTGACTAATTTTCTAATTAATAGATCATTAGATCGTTTCAAACTGATGTTATAAATCACCTGTGTTTAAGCAGCAGGGCCCTCAGGACGTTGGCTCGGTCTTCAGCTTTGATCTGATCAGAAATGATCATCTGCTCCACCACTTGATGTGCGATGCCAGGAAGGGTCTTCTGGTCCAGGTCCAGCAGCACTGCACCTGCAAATACACACAGACACACACACTGAGCTCTGTCTTCTATGAAATGACTTGTGCACACACTTGACTCGGTTTCTCTTTCTTACCATGCGAGATGGTCCTTCTGAGCTCCAGCAAACTGCGGAAAGACAGAGACGCCACATGAGGTTTCCCCCAGCGGTCCGTCTCTTCCTCCACATCCTCCTCAAACTTGATCCAACGAGCCGTTTCCTTCCACTGCATCTCCTGGTTCTTGTCCATGGTCAGTTCGTTCAGCTCTACAAACACCTAAAGACATCATGCAGGAGTGAGTGGAACGCGACACAGACCAAACAATCCAAACCAAACAACATGCATGTTTAGTATGCACAGATATACCACCTCATAGCAAAAGCACTGTGTAGTTTCCCAGCTGATATAATCACACTTTAGAAGCAGCAACTTATTGCCCTTGATGTTCAATTTAAAAAGGCTTAAAAACTTAACCCTAAAAGAAGTCAGAGGAGAGGCACTAATGTTCAGAGCATCTCTTCACTCTCAGCATCAAATATCAATATATAATACAGGTTATTATCTGGACACCATGCAGGTCAGTCACAGTCCGGAGTGAAATAAAAATGTCCGAAATCAGGCTGGAAAAAATCCCCTAGTTTGCCGCCATGTGCCGTCAAACACCTGCTGCATGCCAGTGAAATCACGCTCACACGAGTCAGACCTGACTCTGGCCGGTCACCCAGCCTCACCTTCTGGTACCGAGCCATTTGACCGGAGTGCATGTCCAGCATGAAGCCTTCTGGCCGCGAGGCACAGCGGTACAGAATCACCGGTAACGGCTGGAGGAGCGAGACGGTGCAGGAGAGGACTCAAACACTGACACAGACAGCGACACAAAGGATGGGACCTTCACCACGACACACATAGCTAAAAGTTCCACAACACACACACACCTGACAGGGACCTGTTGTTTACCCAGGCTGCTGGGGGCTCGGAGCACTGTATGAGAGTGTGTGTGTTAATAAAACATAGCTCTCCCTCTCTCAGGAGCTCCCAGTGTCTGGTTACTCAAGCTCCTCTCTCTCTCTCTCTCTCTCTCTTCTCCTTTCCATGTGTGAAAGAAAAGAACTCATTCATTCATTTTTAATTGTCTCCATCCCTCTCGGTCCCATCCACAAAAAAAGGAGAGGGCTGCACTAAATGTGACAGAGGAAAAGAGGGGGGACATTTCCCAGGATTAGCAACAGTTAATTTTCATATTTGAGGAAGTTAGAAATGTCGAACACAGAATAATCTCCCACCAAGCTTCATCAAACTGAAAGTATATTAAAAGGCCCACTCAGTATTTTTTTCTGACCATATGAAAAACACTTATATGAAAAGTTATTCTTATTATTTTATTATTTTCTGGTATTTAATAGACTAAACAATTAATTGAATTTGATGCTATTTTTTATCATCGTACGTTAGGATCCTGATTTCATCTTTAATTTGACCAAAATTGATTGATTTCATCGCAAAGCTGTTTAATAAATAAACCCAGTAACCCTCCACACTTTTCCAAGTATAGTTTTGTCAAAATGAATTGAAGCACAGATGAGACTTGTGACAGAAGGTTTATATAAGTGGACATGAAATGATCCATGTCTTGCCTGAAGCAGCTGTATGACAAGTGAGTAATGTTTCACCTCATGTGGGGTTCGGTCTTGCTTGCGGCTGCGGGTGGTCGGCTCTTTGTGGTCTTTACTGATGTGCACCACTTGTCCCTTGGCACTCTTTCTGACCAGGTGTCTGCGCATGCCGGGGACATCTTCAAAACGATGACCTGATGGAGACAGGAAACGAGGGGTGAGAATACAATTTTGAGCGGAGAAATTACTTTTACATTTTAAAAACATTTTAAAAATTGTTCTAAACACAAATCATAAACGTGACATCCTGCAGATAATTTGCACTGTTCAGTGTGTTCAAATCTCAGCCCAAGGAGTCACACAGGGTGAGGCCACTTTTCTTTTGTTTCCATGGTCCCGCAGCAGAGAGTAGAGTTACCCATGGTGGCAGCACCCCAGACGCTGAAAAGGATGCTGAGAGGGTGGCACAGATACGACGCAGCACAGCGAGCACAAATGTTTCTGTCAGGCGTTACAATTTAAAACATCAATGTGCCTTTCTGTAAATAAGCATGCAAATATAATTTCACAATATCGAAAGGATGCAAAAGCTAAAAAGCAAGGACAGAAAATCTCTTCGTGAATACCAGTCGTCTTACCTTCATCAGTGCTTGTAAATTCTATGTAACAAACAGTGACGCTTTTGAGGGTCTTCATCAATGTTCATCTATCCTCTCCTCACTCTACTTGTACCTGCACAATCTTCAACTCTTACTGAGAAGGTGCATTGTCAAGTTGCTCCATGATGTGTTCACTGGTGTGTGAGTCAAGTATGGTGCGGACTCTGGAGTAAAATGGGGCCTGACTGGCATGTAGCTCTTGAAGGAGGGGAGGAAGGTTTGCGGTGGGCGTTGGGTTATTGCTGGCACGGCCGCTCATACCGAACAGTGTGACTTACGCAAAAGTTTTGACAAGATGGAAAAAGTAGCAATTTCTTGACCGGCGTCCGACCCCGCGGAGACTGAAACTATCAGAAAGCATCAGCGAGCAGAGGTGTTAATTGGCTCAGGGTGAACAAAAAGGGAGGGACAGTGATCTAATAATTCCTATAGTTGAGCAGCAGCCAGAGACACAGACTTTCCCAGGATGATTTACGGTGGCGGGAAGCAGATAAAAGAAGACACTGGTGATGAACCTGCTCAGAACAACCAAACACCAAATATTGAGCCAGTACCTAAAACTACAGCCTCTCCATCCTGCATGTGAGGCAGTTTAACTATTCCGCTCGTTTTACTCCACTAATAATTAAAGCTTATGAACTTGGATCCAAGTTTCTCAATTAGCTACCATGATGGCTCGGGCCCGAGTCCAGGGGCCTCAGCTGACAGTAGGAACGCCTAATTTAATTATGCGAGCCTGTCTGCCACACTCTCTGATAAGCTGCTGCTCTCCGCTGAGGGGTCAGCTGCCTGACGTAAATCTCCCCGGCCCTGAACACAACCCCATGCTGGGCCTGGGGGCCCAGGGACGTCAGTGCAGTGGGGGCAGACTGCAATGTAGAAGGGGACTTGAGGTGGCCCCCAGCACTCGCACTGATATTCAACAAAGCCCGGACTTCATAATTGTTATTGTCTAATCACATAAGAATGCAGCGGTAATGAAGCTACAAATTATTAAAAGTCATTATTAATAATAAAATATAGATTATTTTTACAAAAACAACACAGAAAGCAGAAATTATAGGATCATACTTCATCCTTCCAACAATGCTGCTGGCTAACAGACAAACAAACAGATGGAAACATAACCTCCTAAGGGAAAGTAAACTTAATCTTTTGACATTTCCTCAACACTCACTCTTGATGCCGTCCAGGTCAGCGGAGGCCAGAGTCTGAGCCTCGCTCTCATCAGTGGGGATACGCTGGTACTTGGCCTGCTCAGCACCCGTCATGTTGCCCGTCCGCCGGCGGTCTTGCAGATCGTAGCTGCGGCTGGCGGATGACACCCGGGCCAGCGGTATGTGATCAGGTGGCACTGCTGGAGGAGAGGGGCTGGAAGTGTCGGATGTGTCCAGCTTACTGGAAAGAAGAGCAGAGAAACCAGGTAAACCTGTACCTGAGAAGCTATTTTTCTTCAGCTGATTTCCTATTTTCCCCAGACATTCCTTATGAAACCACAAACACACCCTTTACTGCTCTTTATCATTACTTTCTTTCAAACACTTTGTGAGTCAGCAGTTAAGTTAGGCCTTTTGATCCAGGTATTTCACCCTTCTACTGATGCTTCCTCTATAATACACACGATTAAATACTCAACAAAACTTTTAGAACATAATGAACTCACCGTCCTTATCCTCCAGTATCACTTCTCTTTCAAGACGCCTTCTTTCCCTCAACTTTCCTCTCCTGATTTAAAAATCCTCTGTGAGTATGTCCCTCTCCGGTGGACTGAAAACAAGCAACGTGCCTGAGTAAATGCAGCTTTATCCCAGCTCACATTAAAACCCTCATGAAGTGAAAAAGTAAATGTCATAGGTGGAGCCTGCTGCAGCTGAGGTGTGTTGTGTCGTCTGGAGCGACAGGTGATATATGGGTCTCTGAGGAGAGGATTACTTTGGCCCATCAGATCAGGCCCAGCAGGCCCACTGGATGCCTGAGACATGGTAACGTACAGTGTGTGCCTCGCTGACCAATTACACATTGTGCGCCTGAGCAGTCTAACCCAATCAGAACAGCTGTGAGAACATTTCAGCAACATGGCAAATATGAACATTACACAATCACTGCAGCAGGTAAAGTCGTATTATAAAGATGACCGTCACAGCATTTATGTTTATTTACTGAATCCAAGACGTCGACTCACTCTGTGGAAGTTACATCCTCAGGATCTGCTCCGACACCAGTGTGTGGTACGATGTCCAGCTCTCGGGCTGCGTGAGGGCTCTCTGTGCCACGTTTGGCTGCACTGTCTTCATCCGAAAGAAAGAACTGTGGAGGGAACGCAGAGTGTGAGAGCACCGTGTACAGCGAGAGCAGACAATGGACACAAAATGGAAACGAGGAACTCAAACAGCGATTAGACAAATGTTTGAACTGAGAAGAAAATAATCACCCCTCTCTTCTGTTCACCATCACAACTCGAGTACAAATCTACACTTTACACTGTTCTTCGTCTATGCTATTTGAAGACGGATGAAGACTCGTATTTTCAATTTATTATAATTGAAACAAACATTTGCTTGGACTGTGTTTGAACATTAAACCAAAGCACAGAATTTAATTTTATGAAAAATTAAAGCCTGAATCTTTTAATGTTACAGAGACTTTCTTATGTAAAAACATTTTCTTACTGTTTATCACTATTAAACGTGCTGTGCATATAAAGTAACAACCACTGAATAAAAACAAGAACAATGACATTTTAATTAAGTTGTATGTCTAAAATACGATACATAAAATCCTGCGACAGTGAATACTACTTAGTTACACTGTTAAATCTGGTCCTCATTCAGTGAAGTATCATAACAGCCAAACATGAAACCCACTGATGAATAATTCAGACTGTACTGAAATATTCATAGAGGAAAATATAGTAATGAGAAGACTATGGTCATTTGTTCTGAATCACATTCCTGACCGGCCGTGCGAATGGATGAAGGCAAATTGATGCAGATAAAAACAGATGCTTTACATTAACAGGTGTTCTACTTTCCAATGGACAGTTTCAGACAATGGAATGAAACACGAACCCAAGATATAAACACATGCAAGACACTAGTGTGGCTAATATGTCAGGGTGTTTATATCCTCAGTGAATAAAAGGACATTTCCGTGTGTCTATATTAGAATAATTTTACTCTAAAATACAGTTTCAAAGGAGTAAAACCGTCATTAAAAGACTAATATGAAGCCAAAGAATTACCTCCACATCTTTGGCTCTCTCCGAGTCAGAGGGAGCAGAACTTGCCTCCGTCCCCTCCTCCTCCTCTTCCTCTTCATCCTCTCCTTCCTCGATGGGGCCACTGCTGGGTACGTGGCTGCTTTTGTGATCTTTGTCCTTCTTCCTCTTCTTGCCACTCTTCTTCCTGCGTCCCTCTGAGGGCAGTTTGGACAGAGGCCGGTGGATGTGGTGAGAGGAGTGACGGTGGTCTGCGGAAAAGATGGAACGCCGACACAATGCTAAGCAGTTGCCATTTTAAATGTAGAGCTTACTGAAAGTGCAAACGGGAACTATGATTTGTGTGTGTGCTTACATTCGATGTCCTCCTCATGGTAGTTGTGGTGCTGCTCGTCAGGTACGACAGAAGCAGGGCTGAGGATCTGCTGGAAGCGCTGGACGCCCAGAGCTTTGTTCAGGTCCCCATCATCCTCTTCCTCTTTGCGTGGAGTCCCATGTAGTGATGAGGCTGCAGGAGCCTCTGGCTGCAACACAAACAACAACAGAACAAATAAATAAAAATCACTACATACTCAAAACCTGCTTCGAATTAGTATGCAGTGTGGATTTGGGGAAACAGCTTGTGTTTGCCTTTCACCTAAACCGACACTAGAGGGCGTTGTGGTGCTGTGAATACACCAGAGTCAGGGCATCATATGAGGAGTCGTCTAACTCATGCATTCTTGAAAATAAGCTTTAAATTGGAAACAATGGCCCTGAGCTTTGATCAGTTCCTTGTTTTCAGGGCTGTGGTTTGACAGGAATCATGTGAGTGATAAGAGATCTGTTTTCCTGCAGCAGGACGCGTTGCCCCGCTGTGCCCGGCTCTGCTGGTGGGATGTTGTGATAAGGATTGTCTGGAGTAATAGGAATAGTGGATCGACTCTGGCTGACAGGGTTGTGCTGTAGACTCCTCACCACAAAGTAAATGTTGCTATGACTACCGCCCGAAGGCCTCAGATCCTGTGGCGAACCCAACCTGTGGAAAAACTCAGGGGCCACACGTCTACTGATGCGCCCTCAGGTGGTTCTCAGGACACCCAACGTATTTGCCATAGATTAGATTTTCCTCGGCGCAGCAGGAAGCCACAGAAACCACCTGATGAAATATAAATACTCTCCTCCAACCTGCAGCTCCTGCTCCGTTTAGTGTCAATCACACTTTAGTTGATGCACAGCAGACATCCAAAAACTTACACGAAATATAATGTATCTATAACTGCAGTGATAGAAAGCAGTTAAATCTTTTTCGACCTGCGATCCAATGTCTGGTTCACGTTTCACATTAACTACTTTCACCAAAGGGAAATATCCCCTTTAAACTTATCAGATGTTTTATTATGAATAGCTGTTGCTAAGGAGGTGGGGTGGGAGTTTTTCCTTCCTCTCGACCCACTCACTTGATCCCTGTGCTGGGTACACCTGGACTAAACTAACTGAATATAATATAGTTGGAACAAGCTCAATCGAGAACATCTACCACAGTAAAATGCTGGTTTCATACTGATGCATCGGTATTAACAATCTAATAAATGAATTCATAATAATAAACAAATAAGCATAAAATACATGAATTCAAATTACAATAACTCTTTCCTCTGAATTAAATTGCCTAAACAACAGCTGGTATCTACATTCACACATGATGAAAACCAGCTTAGTATTGTTCACATTCTGTAAAGCTTCATCCACCGCTGTGTCATGTACAAACATCCTGTATGTCCCACTTTCAACACATTCAGCTCATCAAATCCATCAAGACAAGAAAACATGATCTGGTTTCATAAGACTCACCAAATATTCAGGAATCGGGGGAATGTCCGAAGAACGTGTGAAAACCCGACTCCCATGACCCAAACGGCCGTGCGGCTTTTTGCCCTGACCTTTTTTTACATGCCACACACAGGTGACAGAAGTAGGAAACTGCACTGGGCAGCAGAGCTGCAGACGCCCTCGGGAGTTTAAGTAGAAACAGGTCAGCCTGTTTGTTCAATATTGACCCAACGTTCAATTCCTCATGTGCCTATTTTTCTGACAGACCAACAAAGACAGTCAAAATGAGGAATGAACAAACTCTACATTTAACTTGCTGACCTCCAGAGCAAACCGCAAAGACAATGCAGCGCTTTGTAGGCACAGACGACTCTCACACAGTTTCTTTGAATGGACTTTGTTTTTAAAAACAGGCCTGAATGGAAAATAACCTGCACATTTGGAAATAAATCAAACATTTTAAAATGAGAACCCTTTTTCTGTCAGTGAGTCTCACCCTGCATCCACACGAAATCTCAATATGGATGACCGAATCTAGAAGCTGAAGTACACATATCTTCACCAGATGACTGTAAGCCCTCTGAGCACTGCTACACAATCCGGCAGTTTATTTTTACTGAGCTCTCATTCATATCATGGTTTCACAGTGAATCCCTGGAGGTGGGAGAGATGCGTGAGGGATTCTCCAGGAGGTGAACCTTCCACAACCAGAACCATGTGCAAAAACAAGCAGAGGAGAGCCGAGCGAAAACAAAAACATTGAAGGAACCTTTGACTTCGGCGAGGAGGTTCAGAGACTTACCTCGCTCATGGCCACGTGAGCTTGATCACAGTCTGTGGTTTTTGGAGGCAACAAGCTTCAGAGCCCTCCACCATGACAACACTGGAGCTCTGACACTCAACGCCTCTATTAAGAAGTGCAGGGGGACGATATCCCTCTGCCCCAGCTTATCAAAGCCTCGTGATACCCTAATCAGAGCCCTATCGGCCAACCTGCCACCTTCACGAGTCTGCTCATTGTGCCAGGGCTGAATAAACAAGACTGTCATTCTCGCTTTGAGGACAAACGCAGCGTGAAAGGACACGCCGTGTTTGAACAGCTCAGAACAAAAACCTCACGTTGACATTCATGTCCACATTTTAACTTTGCCACATGAAGCCTAAATATTGACCGAGGTGCTTTTAGTCAATATGCCTTCAAGGGCAATGTAAATGCACAGGAACTAAACGACACACTCTTCAAAAGGCGTATTTTTGATGGCTAATATTGACAAATGACATAATAAGAAACAGGCAGGAATGAAATGGGATTTCAATGTTGTGTGAAACCAGCGACAAACTATTTCTACATGACAAATGACTAAAACAAATATTTCAGCAAGATGGATTGGACTGGAGAGGACAAATATTAAACTGCTAAACTATAATAAGTCAAATAAAACAGCTGCATGTGGAAATTTTATTAAAAGACTTTCAGATTGTTGGCCTGTCTGCTGAAGTGTATTAGGAGCTCTCCAACATAATTTAATAACACACAAGAAGCTAATTCACCACACTTCAATAGATGCAAAAGATATTGAAAAAAAGGGTCAGTGTAGTGTCATGCATTTGAAATGTTTAACCCTTACGATTTATGCAAAATATTGCACTGAAAAAGAAAAAGCAGCTCAGATAATGTCACGATTTCATCTGCTTGAATTACTAATATGAGCTGAAGTAATGCCAGTGAACAAGACTCAGAGTCTGTGGTCTGTGGTGAGGATCACGGATGCAGTAGTGATCTCTCCAGTAGTTGAGGTATTTGAGTCTGGACCAAAGTGGCAGACTGACAGACTGACATTGGCATCCCGAGAGCTCAATGGTAAGGATGGCTGAGACTATCATTTGAAATTTCAATCCAAGGAATACAGTGAGCTGTAAAACAACTGCAGAAAAAAAAAGATAATGAAATTCTCTGGCTTTCTAGCTTAAGGGAATTTAAATGACTGATAAATGAGAACTAGCTACTAAAGGAGTTCATCTTCAGAAGCAGCATAGTTTGTAAAGTTTCTGTGTATTTGCAGTGTCTGTGTTTTTCATGGGGTGACGGCGAGCAGCCGCTGCAGAGGGAGATTATCTGTGTCGTAAGGTTGTCTCAAATCCCACACAGTCAGCATCGGAGGGGAAAGGGTGAGATAGGGTGGGAATGTTGTAGTGATCACGGCGTCGGACTGGGTGGCTGATGAGTCGCTGCATTCCTTCATATCTTAACATGAGTCTGCAAGCAGATCCCAGTGGCTCAGGGTTTCTGATTATGATTACAAGTGATGGAGGTTTAACCCAGTTCTGTCCTCTGACAACTTGTGCATTACACAAGCAATGACTGTCATTCCTCCTATTGCATCATGATTTCTATTTGCTCAGCTAACAATCAAAATCAAAACTAAACTTTCAATTTCGTCACAAGCTTCTCAGTAGTCAAAGACAAACAGGACATCTGCCTGAGATATTGTTGTCTCCCTTTAGCTTTATCTCATTGAAGATGTGATAAGACTATTGAGTAAGAAGATTCTGCAGAGACGACCAGATGCACGTCAGCGGAAGTATATGAGGTAATGTGATAGGGCAAGGTGGTGTAACCCTACTGATCCTCACTGGGTCACTGATACAGTTCTACGATACATAAATGAAGACATGACGATGATGACGAGAAATATTCTGGATGCACAACATGATCAGGACTGGCAGTTCTCCCCACAAAGAAGAAACCGAGACGTAACAAAAGCGTTCACCACGACAAAGCGGAATCAAAAACCTTATCTGTTCAGTTCTTTTGGTTCTTTTTGTCTAACCCTTCTTTAACAAACAAACACTCAAACCAAGCAACACATGGAAAGGGAAAACATAACCTCTTTTTGGCGGAGGTAGTTAAAGCCTCTCCCCTCCATGAAACCACATTTAAATCCACGATTGATTTTTATTTGGATCCATGCCAAGTTTAACACACTCATTGATCTCAGTCCCCTAAATAAACCTGTTTTTTTCCATCAATATCCATTAATTATTCTTTGGGAAATCGTCAAAAACACCTGATTTTGCAATGTCAAAGAAAAAATGATTAAAAGATTCCTGGATCTTGGCCCATGTACCAGCCTTTCACCAAGTTTCATGGAAATCGATTCAGTAGTTTTGCATAATCCTGCTGACGGAGGACATCAGACTTCCTGAATTGTGTGAGCTTAGAGAAGTTGAGAAAAATCTATATTACAGGAACTGTTGAAAAAAGAATCTACAAATGTTGTGGTGCACTGATGATGGCAGATTAGAATTGTTGTTTTATTTTAATGTTTACAAGTTGGCTATATCTTTATTTCTAAATCTTTCGGAAAACCATCAGAATGGTTTATTTGTCTATTATTGTTATTTTTGCAACTCTGGTTTCTGGTTTCTCTCTCTTTTTTTGTTCTTCTAAATAATAGTGTTATAAGGCTGGGTACAGAATGTGCACGACACAATTATAAATATCACTCAAATCAATGCTTGTTTAATCTGCACTAAAACAAGCAAAGCACAGTTACTGGCAGTTTGTCAGTTTTCATAAAATCTGAAGTTCATCTGTAAAGTTTCCCAAGATCTCAATATTTCACCAGTTGGTTAAAATGGCCATCACAGGTTAAAGCTTTCTGTTCTCCCGTCGAGAAATATTTCGTAATCCACCTGCGGACATTAGAGGGGGGACTAAACAGTGACACATTAAGTTAACTGTGGTTGGTTGTAATTATTACCTTGAATTTCTAATAACTGGGAAAAGTCGTTCAGCTGTTGACATAGCAAAAGTGAAAGAGAGAAGAAGAGAGAGGAAGAACTGAACTGAACATTAACCAGCGTCAGAGTTTGTACTGAGGTCAAATTCACCTAAAGAAGCAAAGTCAGGATACATATAGGCTCCGAAAATGTCTATTTGCACTATTTAGAATTACGTATAATGACTGATGATAAGAACGAAAGTGAATGTCACGCACACCAACAAGAAAGCGAACTATGTTTAGACTCACATGTCAAGTTGAGTCCTCTACGCTGGAACTGAACAAACTCACCTTCAACGCATAAAGATAATCCATCAAATAACACACAGGAGCAGAGCTGCAGCCTTGAACATAGATAGAAAACTATACTGTATCTGGTTCTCTGGTTTCAAGAGCAAAAGCAAGAAGTGTAGGTCTCTTCTCTGGAAAATGTTTCCCATTTCAGTTACCCCCGTGCCACATGACCGGGGCAGATCGTCTGGGTAGGAAGAAGACATTAGTTTCACAATGTTAGCCCTTGAAAATCTAAACAGGATTATCTGAACTCTCCCTGGCCACGCACACAAAAACACACATTGTTAAGGAGATAATAATTAACTTGGGAGAGTTGGAGGCATGAGGATCAGCCAATAACTGCAACGCCAGTGTCATACAGCAAACATGTTTTATCTTTACTGAGCTTCTTGATCTCGAGCTTCCTGCTGGTGAGTCTTATTAAGCAGAGTCACACTCTTGTCCAATGTGTCTCTGTACGTTGTTTGTCTTTCTGGCTATAATTAGCTCTAAAGACATGCAGATTCTGAACTGGCCGGAAAGAAGATCCCTTTGGCGTCATTCAACACCTTCACTGTGAAAAATAAAAGTTCAAGGTCGGCAATGTTGCTGTGGGTGTTGTACTGATCTTTACAGCCTCTAACACTGTAATTTATGTTGTATGATGTAAATCATTAAACAATGTGTCCTGACATCACACTAATATTTTTATATTTCTAAACTTGCTTTCTAAACTCGCCATTTTCTTACATTGCATTGTTTTATTTTGTTTGTTAAGTTTTGTGCTGGTTTGTGGTTATTGTTGAGATATTGTTGCCCCCATTTGTTTGTTAGTCAGCAGGATTACACAAAAGCAACTTGGTGGTCGACATACTGAAAAAAGAAACGCTCTGGTCAAAAGGGCTGTCACCAATTTCCCAGGGAAATATTCATTGACCGATGGGACCGATATCTATGAGTGTGTGAAATTTGGTGCGGCCTGATTGAATTAAAGGGGACTGCTGGGCCTTGGCAGAGGCATGTGCTCTACAGACTGCCATTCTAGTTTTAAAATGAAAATAAAGTTTATTAAATAATCCCACACGTTGACAATTTTGAGAAATGTCATAACGAGAGGCTGTTATTTTGTGTTAAAAGGGCAAAACAATTCATTAGACAGTAAGTCAGTTAAATCAATGCCCCTTCTGTCTTTCTGCACGTCCCTCATGGGTCAGTGGTCATGGATCCACTTCCAGCTCCTAAATGCTCTGCATTCTCTGCCTTGACAGCTGGGATAAGATTACAAACTAGAACAACATATATGTCCCTAAGTCCCTTCCAGACTCTGAGCAGGTAGTGTGCACGCAGGGGTTGTTGCACAGTTGTGCACTGTTGGAAAAGGAAGCAGCTAACAGAACACTGACAAAAGTGCTGCGCTAAGAGAAAGCTCACGTTTCCTCGATTGCGGTCAGAGTGAAGAACAGAACAATGCTGATGCTGCCGAGTGAAAACCATGAACAGGACGATTTGATTAGAATATGTACTGTCACTATCTCTCATGAGACGTCTCTCCAAGTAGCCTCTATCACTTGTTACTCAGCAGATTATATCTCATTCAGCCAACAGCACAGTGACTGATCATCAACACGTGAAGGTTGACAGTGTAGGGAAACATAGGAAATGTTAAACATGATTTGTTGAGAGTGTTGGGTACATTTCTAAGGAAAACACAATCATCCTTATTATTCCGGGAATAAAATGAGCAAAACAAATCTTGGAATTCATTAAACACCGTAAACTATGCTGTATCTTACAAAATGAAACTATCTGTGTGTGGATTCTTCCTTTAAGCTCCTGATGTTTTCTGCCTCAGCATCTTAATGATCCTGAGATGAACTTGTTGAGGAGATCTTGAGTCGAGGAATGCTGCTTTCCTTGGCCGCTGACCAGCTGCTCTCCTGGGCTTTGCCAGTCATGTTTATCACATCAATCCCACCACGCAGCCATGCAATTATGTTTTTCATTATCGTGTGCCAGTATTACTTTAGTGTTTCCAACTCTGGCAGCCCGTCAAGTTAAAGAGAAGAGGAGGGAAACTGTGTTAGTTGTGGGACCGCTCACGTTCTCCCATGCTCTAATGAAAAGGGATATTTCAACAGGAGCAGCTCTCTGTGCCGATCTGAAACGTTTTTGAGCTATTCTGAACACTTTTTATTGTTGCGGACATAAGTACATCAGGGTCCTGGCTCTAAGATGTGACTGGATTTGTACATACATAACCTCAGAGGGAACGGCACGTCCAAAGTACACACTGCGATGCCAGAGAGGACGGAGAGAGCTGATGCAGCATAAATGTGGCAGAATGTGAACTACAGTAAAGGCAGGTTTGGAGCTGAAGAGCCACCGTCTCATACATGAAACGGCCATAATTTAACCTAACCTGGTTTTTCACCGACTCTTCCTCGGTGCCCTGACTGGAAGGACTTGTCTGCGCGGACTTACACTGTGAATGACCGCTGCCATGGCATCTGTAATCTGGTTGGGAACGCTGGGGTTGCTCATGGCTCCGCAGTGGAGTCGCTGCTGGAGAGGATCTGGAAAGCTGGCGTGGATCAGTGCGGCTTTAGCCCTTCTCTTTCTCACTGGGACTCAGACAGCTTTTGGGCAGCATAACCTGGAGACAGACACAGATCCAGGAGTTAGTTCACATGAAGCTGGAGATTTATAACTTACAGGTAGAGTAATATAGCTGTGGGAAAGTAATCTCTGAATATGAAGCATGACCAAAAAGTAAAAGGACGGCTATACAGTATATTACAGGACATTGGATTTGAAATTAAAAATATATATTTGAGGTTAAAGGTCTGATTTTGGGCTTAAAGGATGTTCACATTCATATCTGGTAAACAATGTAGGACCTAAAACCCATTTTACACTACACCAATCATAAATCATAAACACACATGAAAAAGATTTTAAGGCAAAGACAGTAAACTGTTGACGGTATTGATGGTTAATCTCATGGCAAAAATACCCCAAAACAAACGTGTGTGTTACTGCCATGAGACTATACACATTAGTGATTTGAGCTAAACACAAAGTACAGCTGAGGATGATGGGAATGTTTTGCAGTAACAGTAAGTTTTGATGTGATGGTGGCAATAGAGGAAAAGTGAGTTATTACAGTTCATTCCCTAGGAAAGTGGTTCCCATTCTAGAGGTCTGGACCCCCTGGGAAATAAAATCGTTCTGGATAATGGGGGTTGTATGTCTGTGGTGCAGTTATTTTGGGTGTCAGGGGCTGAAACGTTTGGGAACCTCTGCTCTAAGAAACATGGATGTCTGTACAAAATTGAATGGTAATCTATCAAATTGTTATAAACACATTTCAGTCATAAACAAAGTGTATTGACCAACATACATTTGAGTCCCTTGAACTTTCTTCACTCCTCTTATGGATAAAAATGTTGTCGACATCTAAACAAGTCATCACTTTAATCTCTGTTGTTTTTGCATCTCCCAGCCAGCGTGCTAAAAGCCAAAGCCGAGCTAAACACACTTCACTGTCCTAACACTGTCCGTACTGTGACACGCTGTCATCCAAGAACTAATCATCAGTTTCAGGATTTCCTGGAAGCCCCTCAAGTACCTTTGAGACCGGGATCCCACTTCAGAATCACTCATGGCTTCAGCTAAATGTCAGATTTGTGACGTGCTGGAAAAACCTTGAGATAGTTACATTATACTTGAGACATAAGGAAACAACTGTGGAGGAGGTACAAGCTTTTATAAACAGTGACACTCACGTATTTTTTTATTTTATTTGTAAGACTTATGATTTGAAGCCCTGCAGAACTTCCTCACTGCCATTCAAGGTCATTAACCATTAGTCAGATAAGAGCCAGATAACACAGTGCTACTGTGTAGACGACCCTTTGATAAGTAGAGCAGCACGTGCCACAGCTAATCTCCACCTCTGTCATTCCAGAGTCTCCTTTATATGACGGAACTGCAGGATGATAGATAATCATCACTTGGGCAGAAACTCGACCAGAGACAGGATAAGAAGTTAATGATAATACTACAAGGCGACAATAATGTACAAAATTAATGATTTCTACCATTTTTTTTGCAATCAATTAATTTTTTGACAAGAATTCAGAGATTAAAACAAAATATAGAGGGACACCTTTCTTCAAAGGTGACAGGTGCCCCACCCCCAACCAATCAGATGATGCATGTCATCATACCCGCCCATTGGCATGATGGCATGACAGCTTCGGATTGGTTGGGGTTGATTAGAGGCGGGGCACGAAAGGGGGCCAAAATCTCTGACAAGACATTTAAAGAAAGTTTTTACCATTTTGTTCCTATTTTAGTAGTTTGTCCTTCATAATGATTAATATTCTAATTATTATCGTTTATGATTTATTATAATATATGTACCGCAGCTTGTTAAATTGGAGATATAAAATAAAAATGCTTGCTCTACATTTATGATATCAATCTCTTTCGCCTCAATAAAATCTTGTAACATAACTAATTGATATTAATACAATAACCATTGATATCATTGTTGGCTAATAAGATCAATTAATATTTGCATGAAAGTAGTACTGGTAAAAATGATCCCAATTGCAGAGGATGCATTGCAAAACATGATATTTTAAAACTACCTGAAGCAGTTTTTCTGATACGTAGTTCTGAAAGTGTCCCTCTAGTAACATTAACAGCAGAGCAATGGTTCTCCTTCAGTCTAATAGCAGAGCGCTCTTCTTTTTCAGAGTCATAGTTAGAAATCAAGCTCTCTGGCAGCAGCTATCAAAGAAACGATAAGCTTTCCTGATGCCTGAGCACAATCATATCAATGACCTTGTCGACAGCGAGGGACTTCTATGTATGTTTCACTAAAGTACAATCAATGACGAGAGATGTGGGAGCATGAAGGAGCTGGACAGAGTGAACTTGTACTCAGACGAGGCTTAAACAAAGACATCACCTCCCTCAGAGACCTGAAACTGAGTGTACACGACACACCGTTCTGGCAAAGCTCTACGTTTGCTCTGCCAAACCACTTATCAATGCACCAGTTGTTAATTACAAACCATCAGCTGTTCCACTGCGACACAACAACGTCAACTGGTTGGGGACATTTCAATCCGTGCATTGATTTTGATACAGGAGACTACTATATTAGCTTGGCGTGCTCGAAGATTAGTTTCTCAGTAAACCTAGACTCCGGCACCGTGGAACAGGCAGGGCTGGCTACACAGGGATAAAGTTACAGAACCCTGGGATACTGGGCAAAAACCATGGGAACCAGCTTATCTACCTCCGGGCATGTCTGTAATAATACTGTTAGGATAACAATAATGATCAGAAGAAAACAATAATACCATCCACAATCACAAGAGTAGGCACGTACATTCAATATCTAAATGATGTCTGCAGTCTGCAGGTACAATCAGATGCATAAAAAGGAACTGATTGTTTCTTGTGTAATAAGTGAATTGCCCAAAAGGACATGGGGGGGTGCTGACACTGCATGAGGAAGTGAGGACAAGATGCTCAGTGTTTTTCTCCTGGAACAATTCATCATGTCTTCCAGGAGTCATCGGAGTGCACCACCTCGCAAACTGTTCCTAAAAGAAGACGAGGTGTGTAGCATTTATTTTTCCTCCAGACTTCAAAACCTTTCCATACTGGATTTAGCCACATCCCCAAATTGTGCGCGGACAAGGGCTTGGGAAAACTATCCTTCTGGGAGGAAGTAAGTATGAAAACAGGAAGAAGGTAACTGCTACAAACTGAGTCTTGTCACAAACAGCTATAAATGTATAAAAATGGAAAGATGATGGTCTTTCTAGTATCCATAATTTCAGACATTGGAAAGAGTTAACTGAATGACAGGCGTTTACATTGACCTGGATCTATATACCTGAACTAATCTGGGTTAATACAAAACGTGCTATAAACCCATAATGTCTACCCTGTGGCATTATAGGTTAACTCGATATGTGACAGCATAACGAGCTGAGCTGCCATCATCATCTGTCCCTCGTACAGACATAGAGGACAGGAAGATCACAGTGTACAACCAGGTCAAGTGTGTGTAGATGCTGCAGTAACATTGCAGTGGTTCTGAGGAAATGATGGTTTCTTCACTGGAATCTACAGGCCGATCATATCAAGTCTAAGTTCATATGAATATCACTAAAATGTTGACACGTGTCACATCTTTAGATGTAAGAGATAGATCAGATAAGAGGTTTGGCTTTTTAAGTCAGTATTGCAAAACTGTCATACACTTATGGTGACTAACTTGTCCCAGACAGAAAGATATACATGAAAATGTCTCTTTGGTGTCTTTTGATTAGCTTATATAATATATTAAATATTATATTAAAACTGCTCTGGTTAATGTCTGAGAAGAGCAATTTCCTGCTTTCACTAAGAATATAAAGTATGTTATAGACAATTAAAGTGTTTTTTTCACAGGAGCACTGGGAAGTGATGAGTTAGCACAAAATCCCAATGAACATCTTACAAATGGTTAAATATGACAAGGCACTGTCCGATTTCTTTTAATCTAAGTCAAGTAAGAAAGGTTAATTTTGTCATCTCATGTGACCTTTTGGGTTAAAAATAGAGAAAAGGTCAACAAAAAGACATCAACGTAAAGGAATGAGACAGTCAGACCACTGGACGGAGTTTACAAGCCAACACAAGCCCACATGTCACCAAAACCAGTGATCCGCCTGGACGCTCAGCCGGGCCCGACTTCCGTCGCCAGCTTGGCTCGTGTATGTTTTGGCCACAGACTGAATGCTCATCTGCAAATTCTGTCAGAGAGGCATAATTAAAGATCAGTTCAATTAAATAAACAAACTGACAATAAATTCGTCTCTGCAGAAAAGGAAGATTTCAAACCTCGCTGACACACAGACCTGATGGACGATAACAGAGAGGACAGGAGTGGTGAACTGGGTTTAAAAATAAGAGTGAGTGAGTGAGTGGCTTTTGTTTAGCGGACGATGCATTATTTAAGAGAGTGACAACAAGTGATTGTGGAGTTGTGATAGTTCCAAATGATGTGGGGATAATTTGTGGCTTTTTTATCTTGCACAGTGACACAGAACAGGAACATTCTGAACACTTTTATCATGTGTTAGATATACGCAGAATATAAAGGATAATAAAGCAAGCTCAGTGATTTGATGAAGCAATAATTCATCATTTACAGCTATCAATTCCAAATACATTGAATTTAAAGCCACTTATAAAAGTGGAAAAGCATCTTTCACCTTTTAAAAGTCAAGAGGTGCATTTTGGTGAGTTTCTCTTCTGTGAGACCTGTTGAACTTAGCAGGATTTGTTTACAGTCATTCTTGCTATGACTTCACATCCTCATCATCCTCATTCGCTGAGCCTGACTCACCTCAACTCCTCATTCAAGTCAATTGTTAAGAAAGTGTGACACTAACAGAAAGATTCTTGATAAGTTTGATTCGACCTGACCCATGTCAGCAGCTCAGCTCTTCTAATTAACGACCAACACAAAATAAACAATGAATTAAATTGACCATAAATACATATATTTAAACAAACTGACAAAGGAGATCAATTGAAAACATGACAAGTGGTTAAGAAATATAAAAAATTAGACTGTACCATACCTTTGTGTGCTTACTGCAGAGAAGCCACCGCAGACATTGTAGTGCAATTCTGAACTCTGCTGTGAAGAGCGACCCGGTGCTGGTCAGAGTGCATGACAAAAACAAACAGAGGGAGAGAGGAAAGAGATAGGGAGACAAAAGAGGCAAGAGTCAGAGATGTGGCAAGTGAGCGCCGTCCAGCCCCTCGACGAGCTGAGTGCTGTCTCAGACCAACATGCACCGACTGATAACAGCAGCCTTCCTCCTCAGGATTATGTTTCCTCCTCCAGCCAGCTGACAAGCAACCATGTGACTCCAGGGCCCATTCAGCACTGAGTCAGAGGCTGCCACACACACACACACACANGCACGCACACACACACACACACACACACACACACACACACACACACACACAAAACTGGTTTTGTGGGTATTTGTCCAGAAACCAAAGTGTTGGACAAATTAAGATTACGACCTGATATTAGAACATGTGGAGTATTCCGACCTTAGTGTGTTCTGTCGTGAAAGTAATTTTGATGTGTGTCATAATCAGACTATGCTCTGTGACATGTGGGATGCTCTACTAGCAAATAATCAAAATCAGGTCTTATTCAGAATAAGATCAACAGAATATTTCCATGTAAACACAGACAATGTCTATGATAAGACGTGAAGATATTGTCCTGGCCAACAGACATGGAGCCATGGTGCTGTCATGGCTACATATGTGTTGTATGGTCCCTTAATCACATGAGGATTACATGTGTGGAAATACCATATCTATTCTAAAACAGCCTATTTTAGGCAGGGACAGAAATTTCCTGTTGCGACACAGACAGTGATCATTTGCTGAAGAGAAGGATTTCCACAAAAGCCTGGTTTACCACCACATTCAAGCAAATAATCATTTGAGATAATACAAACTGCAGGACAGCGAGTGAGTCATTATGAAGTTGAACTTTACTTCTCATGAAGGGCAGCGCAACTTGTCCCCAGGTTCTTAGTACTAACTTTGGATTTACACGTTTTTGTGGACATGTTTATAAAGCTGCACAGGATGTTTATTCATTTGTGAATAAGTCTCCTCCTGAATTGAGCAGGAAAACCAAAACATGTTACCAAATATGTCTTTAATTATTAATCGGTAATGACTTTCAGTATAGGTGTGGATGCAGAAATGTCCACACCCTGCATCCTTAGGTCAGATGGTCTGAATATCATTTGTCGCGGTTCCCCTGGATTATCAGCTTGTTCTGGTGAAATATCAGTTTTGGTGTAAATTTAGGGACGAAATACACACACATGCCGCAGGTTCTTAGTGTATTTGGCAATGGAAAAAATAACTTGTCATATATTGGAGGAATCAACACTATTACACAATTAATCCCACCTAAAGTCATAAAAGCCGCTGGAATAATTGTGCTTTGCAGCGAACAAAGAACAGTTCTGTGATCTAAACAAGTTGCTTACCCCTTCGCCAAATAAGTGCTGCATTCCACATCAGCTTACATGAGTCTTAGGGCTAAAGAAATACCCATACCCCGGAGGAGTGTGTGTATAATTGTTTGTCCCCAGGGATGTGGACTCACTGTGGAGTCACATGCATGTCTTGCGGGGGGAAAGAAACACAGTCAAGGCCACAAGCAGCTACAATTGTAGTCCACTTCAAAGTCTGAGGCTTTCCTCAATCCCAGCAGTGTGCTGATAATAGCATCGTCTGCTGTGGTCAACCTTATTACGAGGTGTGACTTCATGCATGCAGGGACGGTCTGCAACTTTGTCTCAACCATGAGCATTAGATGATATACTCATTTCACAACACTTAACCTGCACAGAGAGCAGACACTGTCATCACACTTGCTGCTTTGCACAATTTGACAGTTTTAAATTTCATTGGCTAAATGTGGAGAAACACAGCAAAGATTCTTGTCTACATTTCAAAACAACTTTCTCTGCTGAAAAAAGAAAGAAACAACATGTAACAACGTTTCTTTTTCTACACAATAACATCCCATGCTCAGTTTTCATGCTTTTATCGTCAGTGTTAACACAACTTGGAAATTCTCTCTCCAGCTTCCTGTTATTCCTCTCTTCCTCTGAGTCTAAAACTAGGCCATACTCCGAGACATAAAGAAAAATGAACTTCCACAAGCAGAATTGAGAGAGACTCACCAGAACTGAGCCCGGTGCTCTCACCCAGTCCAGCCTCCTAATGCAAACACTGCCCTCGGAGACGCAGTATACCTCTGACAGCTGCCCTGTTGGTGGGTCTCTATGGGGATTTGGCAGTGGTGTATGTTGATAGCTGTGCCTCTGTTGCCTCCGAGTGTTTCAGCCTGAAATAGCTCAACAGTTTACAAGTCACCCAGCCAGACCCTGAGCCTTTCAACATGCAGACATCTCTACCTCCCTGCTTCACAGCCCAGTGACCACACAGACCTCGCTCTGGCAGGGTCCCACACTTCATAGCAACTGTGCTAAGTTACTCTTTGTGTATGCAGCCACTGGAACACGTCCAGTCTCACAGAGCTAACAGCTGCACTCGGGTCAATGTATGCCTCTCATCTTTATCTCTCCTTCTATTCCAGCACAGGCTTCAGGCAGCGGCGGCTGTGCTTAGGGCTGAGATGGCACCTGTCTCTGGGGTGAAGAGGGATTAAAGAGGCAGCGAACATAATGGCCGCCCACTCACTAGTCAAGCATTTTTATATCTTGAAGAGGGTTATGGTGCAAGAAGAGGTGGGTCAATATTTTGAAATAGAAAATTATCTAGACAACTTTATCCACAGGAACATTTCTGAAGAGCAGAGTTCATAATAAAGAAATGTTTGCCAGAAAATGCAAATATTTAGTCTCTCTTATCCTTCAATTGTATGTAAGGTTTACCAAAATTTTGACCTATGCACATATGGGTGCATGTATTTTAAAAGCTTATTTGTGTCGAGGTAGCTTTGTTCTAGTTTGACCACAGAAAAAAAACAAAAATGATTTGATACTGACCCCACAGAAGTTAACTACCTGGGTCAAGTACAACCATGTCCTATTGCCCTTGTTTCTTAGCTACTCTTAGCCTATATATTAACAGTATAAGTTAGTGAGGAGGTTTATTTACTTGTTTTTAATATCCCCCTTATGGCTCCAGCAGTTTTGAGGGTGCGGCACTTCTGCTCAAAAACACATCCAGAGCTGCTCAGGTTGCACGAGCTGCACAAAAGCTAAAAGCATGTTCTCACAGAAACGTGGTAATTGTGAAGCTTAGACGCAGAATGCTTGTGATAACTGTATTTACTCTCATACGACTCAGACTGGGGACGGTAAGAAAATCTCCTCACGGTTCTCAGAACACAGACAAAGGACTATATCATCTCACACTGAGGTCACACACAAATCAGCCATTGATTGATTTCCTGGGAAAGAACGTGATATGAATAAAGTGCGTTTGTGTGACAGATGACACAGGATTGAACCTCGCACTCCTGTGGGAATGGACGACGACAGTGAAGGTGGATGGAGGGGGAGTAGAAAAGATGGCAGACTATATTTTATGTAGCTAAATGTGTAATTAGAATCTCAGAAGAGACTCCAAACTGCAGACAGCTCAGCAGTAGCCTAAACTATGCATGTTCCCAAATGTGTTGCCATAGCACTTAATGGAGATTGAATGCAAATTAGCAACAGAGCAACAATCAAGTAAGGAAACTGAATGATGGGACTCTGATCTCCGATAGTAAACTGGCTTTAAATCAAGGGGTTTAGGTCTAGAGAATTTTGAGACTTGATGTGTTTACAGACAAAATATTGGGTGTGTTTATCTGCAGAGGGGAAGGTCAAATAAACACGAAGAACCGAGCACCTCTGATTAAAAAAACTATTTATTATCTACCTCTTTTCCTTCCTTCTCTTCTGCATGACCAAGCAATTCACGGCAGGAATGTGGAGACGCTCTGCTTAACTGTTTGTGCTCTGACATTTTTTTTCTTTCCACAGTTAACACTAAGTCTGTTTGACAAATTCCACTGAGGCGAAGGAAAACAAATAAAAGCTGAGAGTGCAATCACAAAGATAAGATGGATCTATGTGATGTGTTCATGTTAAAGGATCGAACAAGGTCACGTTGAGCGAGACGAACGCTTCAGAATCCATTATCTTACGAGTCATGGTGTGCTCTGGTTAAAAACAACATTGCAGTGGTTTCAGTTAGATTTCATATTCTCTAGGAGAAGAAAATAGCTTTACCTCGTATCTGAGCTTTTCTATATAAAGTGTCGCCTCAAATAACCTGGAGGGCACACGGAGATGATTTTGCTGAGTCAGCAGAGGAGACGCATCCTTCCTCCATCCTGCCAGAGGGCACGTCCTGATATCTATTAGCAACGTGACACAAGCAATTCTGGGACTACAGGGTCCCAAAGTGGGGGGTGGTTAAAATGGAGTTATTTCACAGGTAGTCATAAATTCAATTTAACTAGTGTCTATTGATTAATCAATTCATGTAGATGAATCCAATATTTATGACATATCACAGTGTGGTTCACTGGATTATTCAGTCACATCCCACTTTGGAAGTTGAAAAAAGAAATCATCTGTCACCAAATATTGAATTTTTATCAACAGCAAAATTTCAATAGTAAAACTAGACCTCTACAGTATATGTCAGCCAAGGCCCAGCTGTCACCTTCTGAAACCTCATTTAAATTCACCAGATTTGTATTGGCTCTGCACCAAATTGCACACAGTTTTCCCTAAACGTGCCTGTTTTCATACTCATGAAGATTTCTCTGACAAATTAACGCAAACATGAAAAACGCTTCATCTCCGTCTTCCACTGGAGGAGTAGTTTTGGCATTATCCTGCTGACAGACAATCAACAAATGCAGATGGAAACACAACCACCCTGGGGAAGATAATCAACTGATGGAGATGAATCCAATATTTATAGACTGAGGTGTGGTTCATTGACTTTTTCAGTCACATCCCACTTTCGACAATGAGAAACAAAAATCCTCCCCAACCCATAATGTGATTACATTTATATCAATCAGTAGCAGAATTTATGGCAAACCAGTGATTAAGTGAGCCGGGTTAAATTTCCCCACATTGTCAACGTCTGTATCGTTATACTGACAATAAACTCGAGAGATTAGCTTTGACTTCAGGCGTGTCACTGTTTACACATCTGTTGATCTGCTGTCTGAATAAACCTTGCTAGTTGGTTGACTTGCTGGTTTCAGAGCTTCTATGTTTCTTTAGATTTCCAAATTAACCAGGATCCTAATTTCATTTTGTATTTTCCCAGCAGATCATCACAGCTGATTGACTGATTCTATCAATTAGATGTTTGTAAAGTGTCGGAAAATGGAAATGGGTAAAACACGAATTGTGCCCAAAGCGACATCTTCCAATTCCACACATTCGGTTTACGACGACAAGAGCAAGAAACTAGAACGCAAACATTTCAGAAGCTGGAGACAGAAAAGGTGATTCATCGATATTAAACTAGTTGCAGATTCTTTTTCTGTCAAGGAGCCAATTGATTATCTGACAAACTTCTAGGAGTTTTCACCTCATCATTGAAATAGTTTACAGATATATTAGTCAAACTCCACAGTGAAAACAGTAATTGTGTTGTTGCTGAACATTCACTCATGCATGAATACGTCCCCCTCCTACACACACACACACAGACACACACACACACACACACACACACAGACATGTTGTGCTCATGTCACCTCATGACCTGGGAAACAAAAGAAACTCATTCACAATGAATGAGTGAGGAATGGGTGAGCAAAAGCTGACCACACCTCCTCCTGTTGAATGACTCATTCATTCATGAACACATGAAATGAAACATTAAAATGGGGACGTGATGAGGTCTGGATCTCGCCCCACAGCTTCCAGCAGCAGTTTAACCACAAACCCCGTCCACAGCGAGTTAAGATGCTTCACCGCCCAGGAGCTCCTCGTGTGTCTGCGGTTGTTCCTCCATGTTTTACCTGCTCCTGAAGCCGAGCGCCGAGGAGACGAGGTCCAGAAGAAGAAGAAGACGAAGAAGACACGTTCATGTGTGCGCGTGTGGCACTGTCACAATAAGACACCGGCTAACCACCGGCTAACGGTTTCTAACGGTGTCCGGGGCCACGTCGCCTCCGAACAACTTATCGTCTTTGTCGGGAGGTTTTTTTCCGAGAGTCACAACAACAACCACAACAGGCTGATAAATGTTATTCACTCACCGGTGCGTGTTTCTCACCTCAGACTGTGTGGATGACCTGCTGCTGCACCGCTGTCACCGCGCCATCATGGAAACACCTCTCACATCCGGGAGGGACTTTCAAATTAAAGGTGTGAGCAGGCAGAGGCCTAGAGGAAGTGCTCAGATTCAGAACAAGTGCAAGATATATTTTTAAACTTGTTTATTTCATCTGTATGCTTATTCATTTAAAACGCTGTTATATTACTTTATTTGTTATTTTTGATTTCGCATTATAAAAAATATTTTCTAGACTTTTGATGTTTTGTGT